GATTTATTGTAACTTAACAACTTTAAAGGCTACAAGGTCAATGCACCAGATTTATTGTAACTCAACGACTTTATAGGCTACAAGGTCAATGCACCAGATTTATTGTAACTTAACAACTTTAAGGGCTACAAGGTTAATGCACCAGATTTATTGTAACTCAACGACTTTATAGGCTACAAGGTCAATGCACCAGATTTATTGTAACTTAACAACTTTAAAGGCTACAAGGTCAATGCACCAGATTTATTGTAACTCAACGACTTTATAGGCTACAAGGTTAATGCACCAGATTTATTGTAACTCAACGACTTTATAGGCTACGAGGTCAATGCACCAGATTTATTGTAACTCAACGACTTTATAGGCTACAAGGTCTCATTTCACCTTCGTCAACGCGTGTATTTGGAAAATGTCTGAAAGATAGACTGTAATATAGTTTTGGATATTTTAACCTTATAAATGACGACGTCTTTTTTAATAGACTCTTGAGACTCTGTATAGAAGAGCAAGGTGATACAGAAAAAAAATAATGATCACTTTTATGTTCAGGATATTAATACATGTTTAATATATAAAACAATTAAATTAGTTTAGTTTGGAGTGTTCATTGAAAAAACTTTTTATTTATTTCAAAGCGTTTATATGTATTTCATCTCTTCAAATTATATATATTTGTTTTTATATCTTTCACTACCGTAATATGGTCCAGATGTTGCATCGTATTGAGTAATTTTGTGCTTTTGAGTGCTAAAATACTCAGAGTGATGAGTCGACCAACACAATCGGGTGGATCCCTCATTTTCTATGTAAAATAGATGATAGATTCTGACGCTAATGAATCTGGTGCATTGACCTCGTAGCCTATAAAGTCGTTGAGTTACAATAAATCTGGTGCATTGACCTCGTAGCCTATAAAGTCGTTGAGTTACAATAAATCTGGTGCATTGACCTCGTAGCCTATAAAGTCGTTGAGTTACAATAAATCTGGTGCATTGAAGCTAACACCTTGTATTTATGTATTCTGTAAACGAGGTATACTCAGTTCTTTGTTCAATGTTACTTTCGTTAACTATTTTAGTTAGAATGCATAATATATTTTATTTTATTATATTAATTTTCTATTATAATATTTTTGCATTACTACTTTGTATATGGATTTAGGACTAACTTAAACCTCCTAAGCTGGTTGAACCTCGTGAGATATTATTGGAATTACGGCCAAAAGTATCGTTAACAGTGAGGATACCCAACGGATTC